AAGGTTAAAATGAGGTTTATGAAAAAAACCCACACACTTTGAGGTGCACAAAATTGTTTTTTGAGATCAGTAGTTTGGCCTACTTCATTCAATGTCCCACTTCTTGCTTTATTCTAGATGGTTCAACTACTTTTCTCCTAGCATAAATAGATTGTTTTTCTTTCTTTCAGCAGTTCAGTAATAAAAAGGCAAAGGGTTGGGAGGAAGGAGTTACCACTGCTGTTAAGTAAAACAGAATGAAATTTGCACAGCATTAATGTTGCCTGAGCTCCTTCGCAGAGGTGCTGCTCTTTATCTGTGGGAAAAGACACAGAACAGAGAAGCCTGAGGTGGAGATCTACAATCTGCAAAGGTTACACAGCTTAGACAGCTGCTAAATGTCTTTGTCATTTTACTTAGTATGGGAAGCAGCTGTACATGAACTACCAGGAAGCTCTGAAGAGGACGGAATCAGCCTATGACTGGACTTCCTTGTCTAGCTCCAGTATCAAGTCAGGCTCCAGCTCGTCTAGTTTGCCAGGTAATAATGCAATCTCTGTCAGAGTAGACTTAATTACCTTTTTCTTTTATCCTAAGCTGTCTGGAGACCCAAGGAGATATTATTGAAGGAAATGGACTATTTCTCCATAGTCTTTTAGGCATTTGAGTCTAAAGAACTAATTTATTTTATTATATACAATGGTATATTTTCAGAACATACTGTAATTTCACATGCAAGAATTGAGGAAAGGTAGCCTACTTTCAAATGCTGGATGCTTCTATCTTCACCAACTTGGAAAAAAAATAAGTTAATGTCCATTACTCATTTAAGCATGAAGAGTTCTGTGTGTAGCTCTAAAACTGCTCTATGGGCTGAAAAGTTTGAAATTAGTAAGCTGAAAACAGTCCCTGCCCAAAGGCAAAGACCCTTCAGAGACAAACTGAAAATACTAGCACCTTTTCCAGGCCCAGTATACCTGCAGGAATCTGCTCCTGTTGGCCTCTTAGCAGGAGGGGGGCTGTTCTTTTGTAGCAAATAGCAGTTTAAAAATTGATGAATGGTTTACAGTCTCACTTTGCTGTTTGGAGCTAACTGAGGCTGTGCCAGGTTATTTTGAGGGTAGTTTCATTGTTGAAAATAGGTATTGTGAAAGTGTTTTGTCCATCACAGATAGTACGCAGGTCAAGAAGAATGTTACTGAGTTGAAAAGGTTTGTAAAGCAGTGGGTGAAAATGAGGTAAACAAATTCAGGCTAATCAGGAGGGCACCACACTTTCTCAGTTGTGTGGAGAAGCTTTCCAAGGGCAGTGGATAAAATTCTCTATTAATGACAATTTTTCCCTCCAAGTTGGGTGTTTTTCTGAGCAGGCATCTCTTGTTCTGGAGTGCTGAGTCCCAGCTCACCAGTTAGGTGTGTTTTCCTTAGAGCTACAGTCCAGCATGTGCTTAGTTCCTGCCTTTCCCCAGGGCAACTTCAGACTCTGCAGGAAGCAGGTGCCCAGCAGGCACCATAAATCAGTCTGGCAGAGGCAGCCTTCTCAAGGTCCCTGTGGCCCCAGGGCGTCCTCTGCATTCACAGGCTGTAGGATGCATGTGGTTCCTTCTTTCTCCTGGGAAGAGGAGCAGTCTCTACTACTGCTATCTACTGCATAAGCTAGTAGATAAGCTTAAGTATCTACTGCATAAGCTAAGGTAGATGATAGATTACGCAGTAAATGGTGGGAACAATGCCCTTTAGTGGGATTACATCTTTAACATATCATCATGTGATCAATAAATGTTACTCAGAGTTGCATTACAAGCACACTCACTTTACTGGACATTTAGAAATATATGCTAATAATTTTAAAACTTTTTATTCTTTTAAACAGAATCTCAATCAAATCATTCTAATCAGTCTGACAGTGGAGTTTCTGACACGCAGCCAGCTGGACATGTCCGTTCCCAAAGTATTGTCAGCTCCATGTTCTCCGAGGCCTGGAAGCGAGGCACTCAACTGGAAGAATCCAGCAAGGTAACAAGAAGACTTTAGTTTGAGAACCAACCACCCAACAAAATGCACAAGACAGAGTGACACCTCTTCTGCCTCTGTCTTTAGTGGGATTTCTTCTTTTATTTTTTAATTCTACATTATTGACATATACATATAATTGTTTTTGCAATCACTTTTTCAGGGAAATACAGTCCTTCAGCCTTCTGTTCTTGTTTTCATTTGTGTGCACTGAAGTTCCTTGTTCTTTGAAGGTGTAAGACTGTCTTTCCTATAGAATCCTATTAATTAGTGTTGAATAAAGACCACATTAAAAAAATCAGTTGTTAATCAGTTGAATGAAATTCTTTCAGTAAGATCTTTCTTTAATTAACTAGCCACATCTTTCCATTGCAAAGATGTGAATAACCGAGGCCCGGAGCCAGTCACATCTATTTAAACTATGGTCCAGTTTTATTCAAATGCTTTCCATGTTCTATGTAAATAGAAAGAGTAAACTGATATATTTAAAGCAGAAGTGCCATAGCTGACAGTAATTTTAGATTGAAACGGATTTGGTGTACTGTTTCTGGTGGGTGGAGAGATACAAAAGATATTGACTGCTCAGGTCTTGTGGTGTTTTGGTTAGTTTTATGTTGTGATATGGATTTTTCAGCTGCTTAAGTGCAACACCTGAAGTGTGTTCATCATCACATGTTCCATGTGCATCATTTCTGCAAGAACTGGGTGGACACAAAGGATAAGGCACTTCATTCTGTTTTACATGTATCTGATAGAGGTGAAAGCACATTGCTATGAGAATCAAAATGTTATTGTTTCCTAAAGTTGTGATTTTAATCTGAAAATCGTGCTGCTACACTAAAACTTAACTGCTCTGTGAACTTTCAGGGAAAAGTTGAAATCTTGGCACTATGGATTTTTGCCACTGGCAATTGCCGCTTAAAATAACCCCCAAAATGTCTACATTATCTTATTAAAGCATTTTAAAATCTATTACAGGGCTGGCTGGTCTAAAGACCTTAAGGCTTAGTAAATCAAACTGGCAGTGGAAAATGATAAACTCTGTGACAAGCAAGGAAACAGCAGTGCTGCCAAAATAGTAATTTATGTGAAAAGGTAGATGCAGTTGCAGTGATATTGAGATGTGCTGGGATCAGTAGGTCGGTCTCCAGGCTGTCTTCAGAGTAGTAATTCCACAGTGCTTCAGCTTTGTGAACGAAGCTGCGCTAAGGAGTTCCTGAAGGCAGGCTGCTGCAGGCGGCAGAACTGATGGAGGTTTTCCAGCATGCCTGTCTCCTCCTCTTCTGCAGTGACACCTTGTCCCGTGTCACCCTTGTCACATCCCCTTCGGCTCACTAGGGAGATGCCATTGAGGCTGGCCAACTAGCCAGCATTTCATACTGGTTGGCTAGTGACCAACTGCTCAACCTAGTCAAGCTGGGTAAGATCTGCCCTCATTGCCCTCATTTACCCAGGTGCCCGTTTTCACCTCAGTTTGTGGGAGTTGATATACTGGGATATACTGAGAGGTGATTGAGTTGGTACATTGAGATTTCTACTTGTCTGTTGTATTTGACTGAAATGGACCAGCTAATGGAAAAGTGATTGGCATAGGGAGAGATGACAAACAGTGCAATTGCAAAAGCTTGTTTTGTTAGGAAAAATGTCTACAAATACAGCAAGGGTGTTATTTTAAACAATGCTTACTCTTCATAGCATTTCTGGGGTTTGCAGATAGTCCTACAGATGCATATTGCATATCTCTGTGTTTCAAGTACACCTAAAATTAAAACGCCATTTAAAAACACAGTAATCTGTGCAGTTTACATTTTGAAAGACTGCCAAGTTTTCCAAAGAATACATTATCCTCCAGTTCATATTCTTGATGTTTGAGCAGTGAGGATCTCAGTATGCCTTGCTCTGGCTCTTAGGTCTGGAGCAAATGTTGTTTCAAGTAGCGTGTTACATCGGGCATCACAGTGAGCGCTCCCCGTGCGCGTGCTCCAAGAGACAAGGAATGAGGCACTTAAGTGCTACTTAAGTGAGGAAGAAGGAGCTCATTGTCCGCGATTCCCTCTGGTCTCAGCGCTCAGGGAGAGCTGCTCTCATGTCTTGGTGTCCCGCTGTCTGTTTTACGCCGCTTTTATTTCTCCTGTTGCCTTTTGCTGTCTCAGGTGTCAAAAGTGAAGTTCAGCACAGCTAAGGTCAGCACACCCGAGGTGCCTTATTCAGGGCAGAATTAAGGTCAGGGGCTGTTGTTTAAAAATTTATTAACTTGAGTGGTTGGCTCAATGGTAATTTACAGACTAACACTTGAAAGAGATCAAGCTCTCTGTCCCGTTTTGCTTTGTGAACGTGTTTGTATAGTTCAAAAGAGCTTTGTTTTACTCCTTGCCCTATGTACCTAATCTGACAGGTAGAGGCACAACTCCATGTTTGTCATAAATCACTGTTTGTTGTTTCTGACTCTTAATATTTTTGGTTTTCTTCTGTGCATACAAAAACTCAGTGCACCTGTGTCTAGAACAAGCTCATGCAAGGCAAATGAGCATAAATGAGCTAACTTGTAGTGAAATATATACTAATAAAGTGTAGGTGCCCAGGCTGGGTGGTTACATTACATTAGTATTACATTTCTAACGCATGTTTCTGTTCTGTGCACTCTGAAGTTCACAGCTTGGCTTGTGGCAGGGCGCTTTGTATTGGGGGGTATCTTGATAAGTAATGTAATTATCCTTTTAATTCTTAACAGAAATGTAAGTTTACGATTTCAGAGAAATACTTTAACATGAACAAAACCCAATGAGTAGACTAAAATGTTGCCTGCTGCTTTCCAATTGCTCCTTCCCTTAGGTGGTCTCCCCTTTCTTTCCTCCTCCTGCATGGGTTGCATGTCTGGCTTTCCTTTCCCAGGCTAACCTTGTTTCGTAGACCTCTCTAAATGTTTCCTTCCGGGGAGTTTTGCCTAGGAAATCGCTGTTCCTCTGCTTTTCCTCATTTCTCTCCCTTGGCAGTGCTGGCTGTCGGAGCATGTGGCGCTCAGGGGCCTCGCGAGCGTGGCTGCGCGGAGCTGGCTCTTGCCGCCCTCCGGAGCGGTTTGGGGCGGCCGCGCGCGCTCACGCTGAGCGCTGCAGCTGGCGGGCGCCCTAGGTAACCCGCCACGTACTTTTGACGACGGGCACATTTAGACCTTGACTTCATAATCTCTTTGTCTCCCTCCCTCCCCCTCTCTCTGTCTCTTCTCTTTCTCCCTCTCTCCGCTTACACTAAACCCCTTCCCAACAGGCCCGGGCCGAGCCCGCAGGGCGGCCCTTGGTGTCTCTCGCACCTCCCGTGTCCCCGCAGCCCCA